TCCCCAGCCGAAAACACGAGAAAAGACCCGAACTAATTGTCCTGCCCGCTACTTCTACCCTCCACCTAGACCTACGACGGCCTCCCCAAAGCAACAACCCAAGACCTATCTCTATCTAGATGGAAACAGGGGAAAAAGGGCCTAGACCTATGGCAAGGCAAAAGAAAAAGGCCAAATGGCCTGGGACTACCAAACAGAGACTACTAGTGCCAGACGCAGGGATCAAGCCCTACAGGACACAACACTCACAAACAAAACACACAGTTTACAGGTCATGGGATCAAGTCCCGCAAGGTTCAACACACACAAACAGCAAACAAACAGGCAATACAGCAGACAACGGATGCGGGATCAAGTCCCGACAACGACGACAGGGACAAAATTAGTATACAGCCGCTTGCAGCACTGCAATTCATTGCAAATGCATGTTTGGAGTTTTGGCCACAGTATGTGTGCGAGGTGGCTCAGAGAGTGTTTGCTGTGGGTGCCGGGCTGCTCTTTTGGAGCACAAAAAGTGGTTAACAGGACCCCCACTTTTCAGCCCCAGAAAAGAGCGAATTTTGCATGAAAACACACCTCTGCCTTCGGGTTTTCGGCCCCTTTGATCCATTTTTTTTACTCTTTTTTTTGCTGTTGGTTTATTTGGTGTCCACTGTATGGACTGGTGCCAAGTCTGGCTTAGAACGTGTGGAACACTTGTTATAATGACCCTGAAAAACCCCTGAAATTTAGGGCTTTGTTGACCTACATTAAAAAAAAAGCGACAAAATCAGGCAGCATGGCATCCTTCAAATGATCTTATACTTTCAGTCTTGAATGTGCTGGATTTACCAAATAGTTGAATGCTGAAACCAAAGATTCGGGACAGATGGAACACACAACGTGCAGAGACACTGCAAACAAACCAATGGAGTTGTGATTAGTGAGCAGTGCATTCTGAAAATCAACGAATCGAGCGAACAATGCAATACAAAGGACTTTCGAGGTTTCCCCTACGCTGAGAAAATACACTTTTCTGAGTACAATGGTCTCACCTTTCTTTCCTTTTCTCCAGAAACCTTGCGAGTGATGCTTTTCGCGCTTGAGAGGGTTCTGCACCATGGAAAAAATACATTGACAGGGTGTTGATGATCAAGATAGCCTGTTCTCACCATTCAAGTTGCCTGCCGTGAAGATGCCTGACAGACATGGAAGACACGCCATCCTTTTTTTCTTTTTCTTTTTTTTTTAACCACCACTACCTCCGATCCTGTTTTTGCCGAATCTGAATTTCACTGCGCACTGAGTTTTGCCAAGCCTGGGTCCCATTGTATTTTCTTTTCTGCTAATCACTGCAGTTGCATCCAAAAACGAACGAGCCCTCACGGGGCCCTTATCAGACAAACACATGTTCTGGGCAGAGGCCCCCAGCAAGCCCAGTGCCCAACCTAGGTGAAGGCGGGCCTGAATATTCATCAGAGGCCAAAACTCGACATTTTTCATATATGGGTACTCAGGCTGTTGCAGCCCACCAGCTGGTTGAGTGGATGCGCGAGCCTCCCTAAGCTGCGTCAAACAGTTGGCCCAGGCCTTGGCAGTTGCGCCTGGGCTCATACACACAAAGCAGGGCCCCCGGGTCCTGCGCAAATGCAGCAAACGGCCCAAGTCTGGAGACTCAGGCAGTGCCCAACTGTAATGGGGGCAGACCCTCAACTGTAGCCTTGGGCCTGGGCGCAGGAACTGGGGCCCGACAGGTGCAATCAGACTCATTCTCGTTCACACTTTTCATGCATGTAAACAGCAGCACAGCAAACTGGTGACATGCGCCCACTCAAAACTCGGAGATATGGCTTCCAGTTACGAGTTCACTTTCAATTGGCTATGGCGACTCACGTTAGTCTTCTCAAACAGCAACCCGTCTGTAGTGCGGTAATCTGGCTCAGTCTCTGGGGCCTCTCTAACTCTCCTTAGGAGATCGCTATAGATAGGGTCCTGTGCATACGCTTGCTTCACTTTCTCCTGCAGGTCTCTCCCTATATCCAGATAGTGTACTATGGCTCCAAAGTAGTCTGATCTCCTACTCAGAGCATCCGCAACTACGTTGTACTTGCCCTTCACTGGCTTAAGCTCAAAGTCATATTGGTCTATCTCTGCGGCCCACCTAGTCAACTTAGGTGTCATCTTGGCCTGAGTCTTTAACCATCTAAGTGTTTCATGGTCAGAATACACTTTGAAGTGCCTCCCAAGCAGGTAATGCTTCCAGTGGTCTAGAGCCTGCCTGAGAGCGTAGAGTTTTCTCTCGTACGTCGAGGTGGCCACTTTCTCTGAGGGCATCCTCGCGGATATGAACTCTACGGGTCTATAGCCATTGTCGTCATCTTGCTGCAACACGGCGCCTATCCCATACTGACTTGCGTCCGTGGTGACGACAAATGGCAAAGATGGATCTGCTACTTTGAGGACAGGGTACTCTATTAATGCGCGCTTCAATCTCTTTAGCGCAGACGTACAATCTTTGTCTCATTGCCAAATTGCCTCTTTCTTAAGCAACCTGCGCAGGGGAGCGGCGATAGTAGAAAAGTTCCGTACGAACTTTCTATTGTAGTTAGCTAGGCCTAGAAACGACCGCAACTCTGTCAATGTGCGGGACGTCGGCCAATCTCTAATCACCGCGATCTTGCTGTCCTATGGCTTAATGCCCTCTCCGTCTAATACGTGGCCCAAGTACAAGACTTGTGTTTTGACCCACTCGCACTTCTTTGGATTGATCTTGAAGTTAGCCTCTCTMAGCTTCTCCAAGACCTGCCTCAGATGACCTTGGTGTTCCTGGAGGGTCTTACTAAAAACTAAGATATCATCTAAGTAGACTACCACAAACTTGTCTAACCATGGTCTAAACAGGTCATTCATACAACGCTGAAAGGTGGCTGGCACGTTGGTTAGTCCAAAGGGCATCACTATAAACTCACAGTGCCCGTATCTAGTCTGGAACACAGTCCTGTACTGGTCATCAGGATGGACCTCTATCTGATGATAACCGGACTTCAAGTCTATCTTAGAGAAGTACTTGCAACCCTGCACCCGAACTAAAAGATCATCTATCCTAGGCAGTGGCTCAGCATTCTTCACGATAATCGCATTCAAACCCCGATAGTCTATGCACATACGAAACTCTCCTTCCTTCTTGGGGACAAACAAAACTGGTGCTCCAAAAGGAGACAGACTGGGCCTGATCCAACCTTTCTCGAGGAACTCATCTAACTGCTTGCGCAGGTCCTCTAACTCTCTAGGGGACATCCTGTAGACTGCTCCCTTAGGAGTTCTACTGCCAGGCTCTATCTCTATCCTGTGCTGGATGGGTCGCGACACTACTACTGTCAGCGACTCAGTCAAGTCTTTGAACTCCTCCAGACTTGGCCTCAGTGACAGGTGAAACATAAACTACAAAGACCCTAACCTCTAACTGTTCCTTCTTCACCAGTCGCGCAAACGCAGGAGCACTAAGACAACAATGTGCCAAGGTGTTGTCTACTCCTGACACATGAAACAGGCGAGCAGTCTTAACCTCGCCTGTCGGGCTAGGGAGCCTACACTCATGCGCTCTCAAAAGGAGTGTGGCCCCTGCTGCCTCTCCCCAATCCATTCCAATCACTACGTCGAAAGGAAGGTCATCCTGTACAAGGAGAGTCAAGGAATGGAGAACTTTCTCCACCTTCCCATCCTTCTCTAGGTGAAAATACGCCTGGACTCCCTCTACATAGTCCTCAACACGCATCGTGCGGTTGTCTGCGAGGACGCTGACTATGGGGTCTGCTAACTTTTGGATTTTTAATCCTAGCCTTAACTTTTTCAGCGCTCTGCGGCTAATATAACTACAGGTGGCCCCTGAGTCTATGAGGGCCCCTACTCTACTCCTGAAAACTTCTATATCTACCAAGATCAGTTGTCCTTTGCTCTCTTTCTTCATCTTGGCCCAGGCTGGCATCCTCTCCTTTAACTCTTTTGCCACACCTGTGAGGGACGTGCCTAAAGAGACGCTAACACAAGCAGTCTCTGGACAGCTAGCTAGGCACGGGCCTGCAACCTCTGCCATAGGCTCATGTGGGTTGGGAGTGTCCTGTTCCCGCGCACTCACTTCTCCACATGGCCTTGAAGGAGGGGCAGTTGCAACCCCTACTGGCGGCTGCCTTTTGACTGCGTGGCAGCCCAACGGGCCTGTCTGTAATGTGGACAAAAATTAATTACGTGGGCCGGGTCACCACAAAATACGCACTGACCCAAGTTCACGCGTTCCTGCCATACGCGCTGGTCCAAGACCAAATCTTCCCAGGGCCTGCCCCGTGGCAAGCCTGCGTGCCATCCTCCTTGAGGTGCACTTCCACCTCTTCATTGTGGGGACCGATTAGAACCCTGGCGATTTGGCGGGGGACCTTGACCCCTACCTCCCRCTTGGCGGTTTCCCTGTCCGCCAACCCCCTGTGCACCCGGTCCTCGGCCTCCCATGGACCGGCCCCTTTGGCCCTGGCCTCCTCCTCTACCTTGCGGCCTCCCTCCAGCCGCGACATCATCATAGGACCTCCCCTGTCCCCCGCTACTATCCTCTTCCTCTAGGCCCCACTCAATCTGACTATATGGGACCTCGTCAGTACCACCTTCTTCTAAAGTAAGGATCATGTGATCCTTGGCCCTCACTTGGCCCGAGATGGTACGGCCTTTCCACCTTTTCCCCTTATCTAAGTCCTTGTGCCAGAAGGTGGTAACTGGCATGGACTTTGACTCATACAGGACGACTTCTCAACTCAATGCATCATAAGTGATGCCGGTCTGTTGAGATTTGTCAAAGAAATGACCACGCAGGGCCTCTGGCATGGCACGATAAAACAACTGGACCAATTGGGTCTCAGTGACCCCATGGTCTGGGACGGCTACCAAGTCGTCCATGGTGCCCTTGAGTGCTCTCCCACTCCTCCACTGTCACGAGTGGATCGTTTGTAGCTTATCAGAGGCGCGAATGCCTCTCGTTCGGTTTGCAAATCGCTCCTTCAGGAGCTTAAAGAATTAAGGAAGGGGGGTGACTCTTGAATATGCAACCAGGTTGTTTTCACAATCGGCTGCGTGCGCAAGGGACCTGACAAAACTAGCCGCCTCATCCTTAAGGGCCTGGAAGGCCACGAGGACTTGTTCCTCTGACAGGATGTGCTGTAAATATATGTAACTATTGACACTGGCCTCCCAGTTGTCAAAGTTCTCCTCCTTCTTCCCCCCGTATGCATCCGGGAACTTCAGCTTTACAGGCTCTTTACGGGGTCTGACCTCGCCCTCTACATCGGCTATTGCTTTGGCACCCTCAATGGCGCCCTCACAAAACTTCCCCACGTTATCCCTCAGTTGCCTGACTTTGCTCCCAATGTGGGTGACGATATCGCACGCAAAGTCTCTAAACCCCGACCGCATGGCACTCAGGGCTACCTCTTGGCTCCAACTAGCACGCTCCTCCATCCATGCTGTGCTCAACACTTCCAGGTAACCCAATACCTTATCCCATTTGGCCTTGTCATCTGGTTGGGCCAACACTTCTTTCCTACACTCCCGCACCTTCGCCACCTCTGCGGTCAAAGAGGGAATCTAAGACTTCCTCTCTCCTCCTCTTCTTTTCCCTCTTCATCCTCAATTTCCATGCCAACTTCTGCTCCTCCTCCCTTTCTCGCCGTTCCATAGGATCTGTCATTGCTGCTAGCTCGCTGGCTAGTGCATCCCTCTCATCTTGAGTGACATAAGACTTTGCCTCCTCGTCTTCTCACAACGATAAATTAGCGACCCACTCACTTATTATCTTCGTCTCCATCTCAGCGTCTGTATCCCTCTTCATCGTGCCACTACTCCCTTCTCCACTCTCAATTCTCATTCCTTTTTCTTCTTCTGCTGCTACTTCTGCTTCAACAGTCTTTCTTCTTTCTTCCTCCTCCTGTTGAACCCTCTTTATCTCCTCCCCCGATCTCTTCATCTTTGCCGCCTGTTCCTCTGCGATAGCTTTTAGCTTCGCCTGCTTCTCAAGCTCCTTGTTTTCTTTCACTAAGGCGGCCATCTTCGCTTGCTGCTCAGGGGTGTAGGGGTGAGTATCTTTCCCACTACGGGTCTCAACCATGGTGATTAGTGTACAACCGGATTAGTGATTCCAAACCTCACCACGTAGACTCTGACCCCTGACTGACAAACCTACCGACTCAATCTAAGGACTGACAGAATCCTGACAAGGATCCTGCCAACTATGGTCTCTAGCCTGGACCTAACTATGGCTGTCACTACTAGACCTTTTGTTAATCAAGAGGCATTTAAGGAGATCCCCTGAACTCCTCATGAATTATTTAACGTCGCAGACAGGACGACGCGATCAGCAGGTCTCTCAAGACTTAGACGGTCTGTTGTGCAGCCCACAACTCGGATTTCGAGGCCTACTGTGCCACACCGAGCAGCCCGCCGGTCAGTACCAGTCCTTGGGAGGGTTTGACCTCCGGGACAGTCGAGTCGTCAGACACAGCTTTTAGCCCTACTCATCCCGTGTGGGTTTGGTCAACAAGACCCTATCCTTCATCCACAGAGTACTATCACCTAGGACAGAAGAGACTCGATGCAGAAAGAATAGACAGACAGACTGGACTCAACAAGTACCAAGGGGTGTGTGCACATCCATAGGGCGAGGGGTAGGTTGAAGGCTTGGCGAGATGTTACCGGCTCCAGCTTGGTCAAAGTCTTGGTCAACGTCGGTCAACGCTGCTATCAGCCCCCGGTCACTCCCGTAACCGCCGGTCAACACCTCCGGTCAACCCTTCTCGGTCAACCCTCCGGTCAGCTATGGTTGTCGGCTCCTCTTTCCCTCGCCAACCCTCTTCTTCCTCTCACTTTCCTCGCCTCCTTTCACCCCGGCTGTCTTCTTCTTCTCTTTCTTTTTTTTTTTTTTTTTTTGATCGGCCTTCTCTTCTCCTCTCAACTATGGCCTCCTTCTCTTCCCTCTCAGTCTCTCCCCCTCTGTCCTCTCTCACCCTCCTTCGTT